ACTGTGTGAAATGAGTTCTGACGAAAAAAACACCTCAGTGATGAGCAACAGCCAATGAAAGAGCAGGATACAGGTAAGCGGGGAGTTCAGGGAGGAATTATAGACCACAATATCGGAATAAATAAGCTTAACAACAGCATTGAATGAAAACCAAGAAATATTTACTTGATAAGCCACTGAAGAAGCACGTTGCAAACTTATCAGTAACATTTTTTTTTTGATGGTCCATTTGAGTAGACTGTCTGTATAATATCTGTTGATAGTGCTCCTTCAACAAACATTTAACTGACTAAAAGAAACTTTGCAAGTACATGTCAACTTATACTAACCCTAACCCCAACCTAACTCTATATCTAATGAGAGTTAGTTAATTGGCGTGTTACATGTAACTTAAATTCAACAAACGAACCATCAAAATAAAGTGACCAAATAAATGAACAATACTATATCTTCTTTATCATTAAAGAAAACACATTTTAAATAAACATCTTTACAAAATTGTTTTACAAGACTTACTGTATGCTAGCCCTTAGTGAGCCCAGTGCAGGCATGTTCGCAGGGGGAAAAGGTGCTAATGTTACTGGGAAAACGTTGTGTAATCTAATAACAATCCATTTTAGAAGATAAGTTCAGTATCACTTGTGCCTTGTATCAATAGTTCAGGCTGGTTGTGGTGGTAATAATATTGGAGGCCATTTTCTTTGCAGATTTTTAGCTGGTTAATAACAATTGAGCACAGTTTAAACACAACAGAATACCTGTGCATTGTTGCTGATCACGTCCATCACTTTATGACCACAGTTAAGCCATCTTGTGTTCCATTTCCAGCAGGAAATTCACCATCACAAAGCTCAGTTTCTTAAACACGTTCACCATACTCTAACGGGCTCCAGTCAAATACTTTTTCAACCAACAGAGGGCGGTATTGCATCATCAGAAAAATCATTAATAGCGTCAAGGAAATGTTGAGTTATGTCTCAAATTTACGGTATTTTCTTAATGATGGCCAATTCGTGCACCTCAGAAACCTATAGGAATGCGTCAAGCAGATACATCTAAGTTTATTTTTGTAATTAACACTACAGTGCTGTAATGTTTTACCTGTTGCTTAATAAGGCCAATCCATTCACCTTTAATGTTAAACTTCCACTTGATTGTGGTCAAGAAACACAGGATCTCAACGTGATGAGTGGTGAAGAGTTGCTTCAGAAACATCAATTAGGTGCAAGTTGAACAAAAGGATCAAAGCACTACAAGATTCCAACCTTTAGGAAAAACAAATCCACTTAGCCCATCTAAAAAAAATAAAAATAAAAAAAAAACTTTTTTTTTTCAAGTATTTACTATGTTTATTTTTCTACTATTATTTAGCAATACATTTTTATCAATGTATTTATAGCGTTAAAAAGAAAAATATGTTCCAAACAAATTACATTAAAATTTTCCATGCATCAATGAATGCTGACACAAATCATTGTTTCAAATAGCCTATACAAAAAAAAAATTATTAAATAACAAAATTAAAATACAATACAGCTTACAATGTAGATTAATAATATTTAACTATTCAAGTTTAGTGTGGGCGAGGCAGTGGCACAGTAGGTAGGGCCGCTGGGTTGCTGGTATGAACCTCGGCTTAGTTGGCATTTCTGTGTGGAGTTTGCATGTTCTCCCTGCCTTCGCGTGGGTTTCCTCTGGGTGCTCCGGTTTCTCCCACAGCCCTAAGACATGCAGTATAGGTGAATTGGGTAGGCTAAATTGTCCGTAGTGTATGAGTGTGTGTGTGGATGATTCCCAGAGATGGGTTTGCGGCTGGAAGGGCAATAAATGTTTTTATTAAAAAAAAGTTTTGTGTAAATTAACCTTTTCCATTTGCAATAAAGAATAAAAAATAATTTAACATAAATCAAAAGGTCTATTTTATACACTTTCACAAATATGTTACAGAAAAACATTCTCCCATGTACAATATAAAACATTTTTTCCACAAGCTTTCACACAATATCTTTGAAATCACTTAAAGGTGAATTTAATTAACTTAATTTTAAAATAGAAATAGAATTATGCAAAAGTTTTGTAACAAGATATGCACAATGATTGATTAGTTTTACAATAGTAAAATGTCTGCATGAACACCTTGCATCTGCAGGACTTTTGCCAGCTCACATGCGTAGTGGAAAGCAACAAGCATAGTGGAAAACACAATCATAAGAGGTCTTTTCTGTACTATATAATGTACGACAAAAAAAACTGTTCCTCAAAGAACATTATTTATACCACTGTGTGCCTTTTTTCTTAGAGTGTATGTCTGATTTTTGTCTTTAACAAATAATCAAAATGAGTAAATGACAAATGGTAAATTAAAAAATATTATAAAAATGACAGTCCTGAAACACCCACATACCTGAAATAAGTCTTGTTGTCGATCCCAGTTGTAAAAGCAACAGACTTCTTGTTGACAGTGAAGTCTTGACTTTGTTGACAGTGGCAGAAGGTAAACAATTGGATGCTCAAAAAGATATGAGGTGCCTCATGCTAAACATAACCTTAGATATGAATAGGTTGTTGCATAGCCATGATAAAAACTCAAAATGTTCTAATCAGACTAAAATCGTCTCTCTAATCAGTTTCAGAATGGAGGCCACACATGTGCATTGGAGAGAAACACAGCACATCTGCTACAGAATCCTTACCAGCAGCAGAACAGACCCCATCCAAACCTTTACTTTGAGGATACTTTTACAAATCAATTGTTAGCAGGCTGTGATCTGAGGTGATATGCCAGAAATAGCCAAAGTAAGGTATAATAAGAGATAAAGAAACAGAAACTGGGGTAAAAAAAGACTGAACATGGACAAAGAAAAGCACAACTGTCCTGTGTGGCTCAGCATGACGTCTAAGATGAATGAAGAACCAGTCTGTTTGGATTAGAATGATACAAGAATCGTTCATCAGTGGCTTCCCTGTTATATGAACAGAGCTGTCACTGTCCTTTGATAAATGTCTCTTTAAATGTCTCTCGAGAAATGTTGCAAATCTATTGGCCTGTCAAAATTGTGTCCCAGAGCAATATATAGTGTGGAGTGACTGTAAATAGCCTCCAGCAAATGCCAAACATAATATAATGTGTATAAAGTAGGACAACAGGGCTAATCAATATGCAGCTTTTCACATTTTAGCTATTTTTTTTTCTAAACATTTTATGAGTGTTTTATATAAATTAAGCAATATTATTAATTTGAGTGATTTATGCTACACTGGGACTTCTTGTCAGCATTTTTTTTTTCATTTAAACTATAATTTTTATCTTATTACCATGTTTTTTTTTTTTTTACTTTTTTTAAGATAATTTAATTTCTGTACGTGTTTATTGTAAGAAATTAAATATTGAAAAATTAATTTTGAGTATTTATAGGTTGTCGCTATAATTAGGAACCATATTCAATACCTTACGAAAGTCTAGTTGATCATGTGGTATGAGAAATTGCTTATATGAAAGGCAAAAGCCTCTAGATTATCTTATTTTACCAAAATAAAAAAGAATCATGCCTTGATTTTTAATTATTTCATTAGGACAATAAGGTCTGACTTTTCCTAGACAAAAGTCCTGTCACTTAACAGAAATAATGTACAGTATAGACTATAAAGTCAGGGTGCAGTGAAAAAAGAATTAATATTGTGTATGACTCTCATAAGCTTTCACGACTGCATCCATACATTTCTGCAATGACTAAAATAACTCCTTTTTTAACAATAATGTTCATGTCTGGTGACTGGGCTGGCCAATCATCGAGCACCTTGACCTTCTTTGCTTTCAGGAACTTGTGTGGAGGCTGAAGTATGAAAAGGAGCGCTACCCTGCTGAACTATTTGCCTTCTCCTGTTTTCGTAATGTAAAGGGCAGCACAAATGTCATGATACCTCAGGCTGTTGATGTTGCCATCCACTCTGCAGATCTCTTGCATGCCGCATTACTGAATATAACCCCAAACCATGATTTTTCCTTCACCAAACTTGATTGTTTTCCCTAAGAATTTTGGGTCCATGCGGGTTCCATTAGGTCTTCTGCAGTATTTGTAATGATTGAATTGCAGGTCAACAGAGAATTTATCAGAAATGTACAGTTAAGTCCATAAATATTTTGACATTGACACAATTTTAACATTTTTGGCTCTATACAACAACACAATGGATTAGAAATTAAACGAACAAGATGTTCTCTAACTGCAGACTGTCAGTTTTAATTTTGACATATGATGATGTGTGCAGGTCTTGTAGTGGTGTCCCATTTCTTAGAGGGAACATTTGAAGCCCTTCCCCTTCACGCTCTGTTTTAATGGCTAAGGGAAAGGGGTAGGGGTACAAAGATAGAATTGGGATTGGGATAGAAATAGCATAATCTATTTTTGATGGCCGATCATTTTTGGTGGCCAAAAATTCAGTACATCTCTTATATCAACTCACTTCTAGATTCCAAATGTTGCACATTTCTGCCATGTGATTGGCTTTTAGATCAATATAGAGTAAAAAAGTCCAGAGCTTATCATTGTTATAATATAACTTATCAGCCAAACCTTATTTACATGTACATATAAATGTACAATGTACATGTACAAAATAAATGCACCATTTTCAAAAACATCCACTTTAGTGCTCATTTACACAACAATGTAAACACACACGCGCAATAGTAACATTTTAATGAGTTTTGCCCATGTGTTTATATGACAAAGACATTTTTGGGACATAAAACATATAAATCTGAAAAAGGTTTACAATAAGTTTTTAAAAAAGACCTGCCGTAACCTGTTTTCAGATGTACTGTATATGTTTTACAGTAGCAAAATAGCAGGCAATATGCATAAAAGGTTTACAGTTTTTGTCTGAAAACATTGCCATGTGAATGGCCCCAAAATATCCTCTTGTAAATTTAAAAATCAAAACAATTTCAAAACTTTTATAGTTAGGTCAGTTGGCATTTCTGTGTGGAGTTGGCATGTTCTCCCCATGTTTGCTTGGATTTTTTTTCCGGGTACCCCCAAAAGTCCAAAGATATGCACTATACTGTAGATGATTTGGGTAAGCAAAAATTTCTGTAGTGTGTGAATGTGAATGTATGGATGCTTCAAGTGATGGGTTGGTGCTGGAAGGACAATCCTTCCGTTAAACATATGCTGCATATGTTGGTGGTTCGTTCCGCTGTGGTGACCCCTGATTAATAAAGACAAATGAAAAGAAAATTAATGAATAAAACTTTTATAGCTTACAGTTTGCAAATCAAATTAAATTGACTGGAAGTACTCATAACAGTGCAACCAATGTTGTCCAATGTACAAACAAATAACTAAAGAGCCAATTAATGTTTGGTAAATGAAATACACAGTGCATCCAGTGTACTCCAAATAATGAACAAATGACTTTGGAGTGAGTCCTTCTAATTACTCATTTAAAAGACTTAAATTATTTAAGTCAGGGGTGCTCACACTTTTTCAGCATGCGGGATACTTATAAACAGTGGTGGGAAGAGTACTGAAAAATCATACTCTGGACTTTTTTACTCTATATTGATTTGGACTTTTTTACTCTATATTGATGACTTGCCTAAAAATTAAATGGAGGTAAAGTATCAATTGTAAATATTACCCAAGTATGAGTAAAAAGTAAACCTTTCAAAAGTACTCAAGAGTAGTGAGAATTACGCTGTAAAAAGCTGATGCGTTTAAATGTAATTTGTGGATGTGTGTGTAAACGTAACATTCTGTAGTTCATTTAGTTATTGCCCAGCAGGCACACAACATCATAGGACATTAATATAAGGTTAGATTTAGGTTGTGATGTCAAGTGACCAAAATTCAATGTGTAGCCAGTGTCGAATGTAATGTAATGTAATGTGTATTTATACAGCGCATTTATTGTGTATGGCCATACACCCAAAGCATGAGTAATTCAATCTTTACAATCATGCGGGGGTGGGGGGGGGGGGGGTTCTCCACACCACCACCAGTGTGCAGCATCCACTTGGATGATGCGACGGCAGCCACAGGACAACGGCGCCAGTGCGCTCACCACACACCAGCTATTGGTGGAGTGGAGAGGCAGTGATAGAGCCAATTCGGTGGAAGGGGATGATTGGGAGGCCATGATCGTAAGAGCCGATAGAGGGACTTTGGCCAGGACACGAGGGTTATACCCCTGCTCTTTCACGAAAAGTGCCACAGGATTTTTAATGACCACAGAGAGTCAGGACCTCAGTTTAACGTCTCATCCAAAAGACGGCGCCCACTGACAGTATAGTGTCCCCTTCACTTTTACTGGGGCATTAGAACTCACACAAACCACAGGTTGAGCGCCCCCTGCTGACCTCACTAACACCACTTCCAACAGCAACCTAGTGTTCGCTAGTGGTCTCCCATCCAGGTACTGACCAGGCTCAGCCCTGTTTAGCTTCAGTGAGTAACCGGTCTTGGGCTGCAGGGTGATAATGCTGTGGCATAGAGACATGTGGCGAAGAACAATGTTATAATTGATGTCCAATAATGACGTCAAATGACGTTGATATTTGGTCAATTTTAGGTTGTTAGAAAGTGACAAAAATCCAACGTCGAGCCAACATCTTAAACCAATGTCATATTGATGTCAAATACTGACATTTATTCCACAGGTATGGCAACCAAAATCCAACGTCTGATAGACGTCACAGTGGTAACATCCACACAACTTCAAGCTGTGACATCATTAGACATTATTATTTGGTTGGTTTTAGGTTGGACATTGGCGTTGGTCTAACGTTGAGTTCTGATGTCAACCCGATTTTCATTTCCAAACAAAATGCAACGTCCCCATGGCATTGGGGTACAACGTCAATCTGACGTCTTGTGCCTGCTGGGTGTTTAAGGCCATTTTGGTCATCTTACAGCAAACATACATCATCTTCTCATCAGTGCCATGCATCTAAACAGTCTCTGAGTCAATGTTTGTCAAGATTTAGGACATCTTTTAGGACACTTTTAAAGCTTCCAAACAGTTTGCTGCAATTATAAATTACCCATGTCTTGAGGTAGTTCATTATGACGCGATTTATCTTCTATGAGTGATAGATTGCAATCGATGTATTGGGCACCCCTGATCTAAATTTATCTTAATATTAATTTTAAGTAATGGTTTCTTTAATCCCAAGATCAGTCTTTTAGTCTATACCATTTCAGTTGAAGCATGAACAAAATTACACTTCTCACAAGCTTTGTGTTTTGGTACTTTCGTCAAAATTTTGTCCCTTTTATCAATAAATTCTAACAATAAATGCTGTTTTTGTTTACAATGGAAGAGTTAGTTCTTGTTGGAGCATTAAAGAGCCCATATTATGGGTTTTTGAAAATTCCCCTCCATGTAGTGTGTAACACAGCTCTAAGTGAAGTGAAGTATCCAGCTAAGGCTTAAATCTGTAAGAATACAGTGTTTAAAACTGTTGATTCATCTATAAAAGAGTCGACTCATAGTGCTTCGAACGAGTCGCCTTGATACCGACTCATTAGGTGTTTCGCCATGACGTACGAACGAAACCAAGTTATTCACGTGCACGCGCAAACCCGGGAGATTTCAAACCTGAGGCCCCACCCTCTGACGCAGAAACCCAGACACACACACACCCACAAACACACACACACACACACACACAAACATGCCGGTTGATTGAAGTCACACTGCAGATGGATATATTGAGTCTCTACCCAAAGATGAAACCTCAGCATTATAACCAAGCAGTTGGAAACTTCTGGAAGCTACATGCTACAAAGAATACTTCATCTGAGTTTGTTAAAGGAAGGATCAGTAAAGAGTAACTGCTGGACGTCAGGATGGGTTTCTTCCATTTCTCAAGTGTAAGTACGTGCGGTTAAAGTTGTTGCCTCGTTTACTCTAGCTTGCAAATGTATTTAGTTGTGATTTGTTACTTGTAACCGCGTGTACTGTATCAGGTTAACTGGCTATATTCTCTTATCGCGTGCAAAGTCACGTTAAAAACGCGACGCGTGCTGTTTGTTTATGGAGCTCCGTGCTAGAGTTCTGCTCCCGCGATTTATTCGGAAATTTATTCCCGCGCCGCAGAAATCTGAATTCAAAATAAATTTCCGAATAAATCGCGGGAGCGGTCGGTAACGGGTTTAATGTGGGACGGGAGCGGGCTGCTATGCGAATTAGAAAGAGAGAGTCTGCTTGGTATGAGAGAGCGTATGAGAGAGAGAGAGAGCGAACGAACGAACGAACGAGCTCTGTGTGCTTTGTGCTGTGTATGTGTTTATACAGACAGCTTGGCTGTCTGGACTGTATACTGGGTGATTTTTGGTTGTGTTCTCCGCTCTAGCGGGACCGGGCGCGGCGGGCAGAAAACGGAGCGGGTTCTCAGGCTAAAACCTGGCGGGTGCGGGCGGAAGCGGGAGCGTTGTCATCCGGAGGTGTGTGTGTGTTTTTGTGTGTGTGTGTGGTATGGCGAGTACACAACTGTCTCCTTCGTTCGGTTATCCGTGGCACTATCCACTCGCCATAGTGTGGCAGCTAAAATCCACGCCTACACTATCGAGCGTGTATGAACTGTGATTACTTTTATATTGCTGATTAGCTATTGGCCATTTCCCTCTCTGACTGAAGGCAGTCGACCAATCGCGACAGACTGTCATCGGTCCAATCAGCGCAGATTAGCTCCGCGCTAAGGAGGGGTTTGGGAACAAATGAATCACTGGACGATTCATACAGGAGTCGCTGGGATAATTAGGTAAAAATAAATGCAGATTATAAGACCATGAAAGTGTTTTTTGACCTTGCATGCATATTAGACTGTTGTTGGAGACCCTTACAACCAAGATATGACCCTATTTCATGTATAATATGGGCTCTTTAAGTGCAAAAAGATCTGAAAGCAATTGAGCTTCATATGAAGAGTTTGTTTCTTACTGTTCCGATGTAAGCTTGTTGATCCAGGCTCGATCTTATGTCCATTCCTCTGTCCAGTCCTGAGTAGTTGTTCCTCTCTCCAACACCATTCATGTCATTTATCAGGTCCTCGAGGTCCTGAGTGGTAAACTCCACTGGTTCACCTTCAGTGGTTTGAGATGAAGAGAGCTGCTGGGAAGAGCTGGTGCACAGCTTTGGATCCAGAATGGGCCTCTCCAGGTAAAAACATCCTGATGGCTGGAGTTCTGGCGGGAAGAGTGGAGAAACCTGCTGTATATCGCTGTCTATAACTTCAGCCATATTCCCACAAACCTGAGGACTTCTGAGTGCTTCACACACTTGCTCATGGAAAGGTGGAAGGTTTGAGAATTGCAAATGTTGGCTTATTGTCTGAATTGTGCTGTGTGAACTTTTGGGTAGTGTGATTCCTGTCCCATTGTATGACTGAGGCCTTGTGTCTTGGTGTTCATGAGGATCTATTTGGAGATAAGTTATTCCCTTCTGTGGAGTATAAGGTTGTATTTGTGTGAGTTGAATCTTTGGTTCAGTCTTGTCTGTTATGAAAGTCATTTGTTGTTCCTGAGATAGTAATGTAATAGTATCACATGAATCATTTGGTATTATGGTCTGGGCCGGGTTCCTAATGAGTTCCTGCTCCTTCATGTTGCCCTGGGTGTTTTTTGACACTGTACAGTCCATCTTTGTTTTAAGAGACTGTTGTACATGAGATAAAATGTCATCTGACAAGTCTGCCATATCATTATGACTGTCTAAATCCATATTGATGAACAGATCCTCATGTTGAAGGAACTTTAGATCTTCAAGGCTGATCCCTAAACTTCCCATGAAGTTCAGGATTTCACAGCTGTCATCTCTTTCAGAGCTGAAGACTGACTCTTGTTTGAATGGACAGCTTCTAGAGACTGAAACACTTTCTTGTGAGTTAATGGAATAGATCCCATCCAGATCCTTGTTCCCTAAGCTCTGTACCAACACTGAGCGCTCATCTGCAGGAGATAAATATATTGACTTGGGTTGCTTTAGCAAAGAGACCAGCAATGAGTCAGGGTTAACAGTTCTAGTGGTTTTGGGTTGGGTATTGCCATCTGAAGAGGCAGGATCAGAAGATGTGGGACAGTTCATGGCACAAAGAACAGCGTCGCCCGTAGTGAAGTTGAAGGGAAGCATCATTGCACGGTTTCTCAGGTTCTCCTCACCTTCCTCAGCCCTATCAAAAGACAAAAAAAAAACTCAATACCATGCATATTTAACATTAAAAGCAAATTAAACATTCCAAATTAAGATTTCATGCTGACTTTAAGAAAAAAAGTGGATTTGAAATGCCCTTGTAATAAAGTTTTACTAAGCTAATATGCTTATGTCTTGAGGCTGAATACTGCAGCATCTTGCCCAGTTAATTCAATTCAATTCATGTTCATTTATATAGCACTTCTATAATGTAGATTGTGTCAAAGCAGCTTAACATAGACATTTTAGTAAATTGAAACTGTGTCAGACAGTTTTCAGACTGAAGAGCAAATCAATGTGCAGCTCCACATCCACTTTATCTTAATGAAGTCATTAAGATGAAAGAAGATGAAGTCAAACATTTAATTGTATTTTACAAAGAAACTAATTTCAAACGTGACATAGTTCCCCTTCAAATCAGGAACTTCAACGTTGTGTTTACTGACACATTGGGAATTGCTAGATGACCAATAACTCTGAAGAGTAAGAAAACAGGCCAATGAATGTCTATAAATTGGCGAAGCACAGCTTCTCACAGGTGTGGCTATTATAATCAGCTGAGTATACAGCATGCACCAAAAGGAGAGCAAGCCAAACTTTTCGCTTCAGAAGCCTCACATGACTGAAAAAAACTTCTTCTGAGCTAAATCCAGAGAGATCAAGCTTCATGGATCTAATTTTATCCTCCTTACACTGGCTGTCTGTTAAGTTCCGTATTGATTATAAAATACTGCTTCTTACCTATAAAGCTTTAAATAATCTAGTTCCTGTTTATCTAATTAACTTCTGTCTTACTACAATCTAGTTTCACTACAAACTAATTTAGGGCTTCTAGTAGTAACTAGAATTAGGGTTGGGCCGATAGACGATGCCATCGTCCATCACCGATGGCTGACAAACTTCAAGATGCTGAGCCGGCATCACGATCCATTGCCCCGCCCTACATTTATATTGATATATAACTTATTATTTGCATGCCATCTTAATAGCAATAATGGTCTTTTAATGAGCTGTGTTAAATGTTACATATTGCTGCCACTTGCACGGCTGACAGCATGGTGAGGATTAAATGAAGGTTTATACCGCACCTCTCACGCTTAAAATGTATAGATTCAGTGGCAAACACTGTTACCTGGTTTCTCTCAAGGTTTTTTTTTCCTTCACATTTGTCAATTGGTGAAGTTTGTTCCTCACCACTGTCGCCATTGGCTTGCTTGGTTGGGACTTGTGGAACTGCACATCAATGAATTTGCTCTTCAGTGAACTTTCAGCAGTGAAAATTTTACCACACTGAACTGAACTAAACTAAACTTCATCTCTGAAAACTAGACTGACAACAGCTTCAATTTACTAGAACTACTACCTAAAGGTGCGTTGACAATCTACATTGTAAAAACACTATAGAAATTATGAATTGAATGTATCCAGTGCGTGTGATGATGCAGACAGCAGCCTTCAAGCTTGGTGTTTTGCCCTTTGTGTTTCACTGGGTACTTCTAAAAGAGCAGTCCAAAAAGAGCACATTTCCCTAAGAGAGCAACAACATTAGACAACACGTCTTTTTCAAGATTTTGTTCTGACTGCTTTTCTGGATGTGGTGGTTCCTCTCTCTGGATGATGGGCACGAGTACTGCGTCACATGTCTGGGGGTCCATATATGCGAGTTCATATTCTCACTGCAAGATCTGCAGGTCTCGGCTCGCACTTGCAAAAGTGCATACCATCCCTGTTGTTCCTTTTAAAACGGTAAGCAATTAGATCTGACGATTGCAATGGGGGGCTTATATATAGCCTCTGGGCTCGAGGACCACGCCACTCCTCAACAGTATGCCTTATCCAAGTTTTAAGGCCACACTTTCACTTGATGGCACCAAACATCAGATGCCCATCGCAGCATTGGAGTGCAAGCTGTCATGTTTAGAAGACAGATTGGGCCAGCTATCACCCTCCAATGTGCAAAGCGTGGTCACGGATCAAGAGTCAGGAGTCAGGCATGACAGCTGTTGTTTGCAAGGCTGCTTCAACAGGGGGGTCCGGAGGTATCACCACCGCTGGTCCAGCCATGGGACCAACTAGAGCAGTGCAATGTGGGGGTAACAAAGTAAATTCTCCCAGCTCCCCCATTCCCTGCTTCCCAGGGGTACAGGAGCTATTGCAGGTATGGAGGGTGCTTTTCTCTGCCTGATCCTTGTGCTCATGCGACAGCAGATATGAGGCCATTCCCCAGGTGGTGGGCTCCCCACTGAGGTGGGCTCCATGCCGAGACCCCCACCCAAGGTATGTGGATTTTGATATTGTAGCTCTCATGGCTAGAGCCCACACTGCTGCAGGCCAAGCCACTTCCGCCCTGCACAACAATACTAAGCACAAGCGCTGGCTAGGCTGCCAAAGGTTGTTATTCTGTTAAATTTCTAATAATTAAACAGAATAAAATGTTTGCAGGTTGTTCAATATAAAAAAAAACCCCAAATAAATAGCAAAGACAAAAATAAGTGCATACGTTATGACTCTGTGAGAGGTGATGATGCAATCTGGTTGCCCATTTTTGTAGACAAGTTTGCCGTTGGACTGAACCCAAACCCAGCGGTTCTGTTTAGTCAACAGTCTGAAAACAGTCAACCCAGTTTTACCGGTCCTCATCACTGCAGGGGAGAGAAATTGTGAAATTATTAAAATAAAATTAACTAGTCTTGTAATCATTATGAATGACAGAGCTCTTAAGGGTGAGTATATATTTATTTTTTATTTTTTGCATGAACTGTCTCTTTAAATCTATACAGTATTTGTATTTATCAATGTTTCTTGCAAAACAAGCAACCACATTTAAGCACTAAAATGTATATTATTGTGCATTATTTGAGAAAATAAATGAGTGAGTGTATTTTCTAGGGGTGTCAAAATTAATTGTTTCTTCAGTGCACCGCGATGCAGATGAGGACAATTCGATATCGGTTCAGTAATAATCATAACAGGTTATTACGTGCTGATGCCATTTATCTCCTTTGCGCGATGTCGCAGGAGAATACTATGGCAAAGGAGGCGAGGGCGACTAAATAAAACGATCCTACTACTTATAAGGTAGATAGTTATGCACAGTTTACCTGCTTGTGAGTTTGTTGGAAAGTATTTTACTGACACTGAAGGAGGCACAGCACACGAGCCGCTGTAAAACTCAATCTTTGCCTCTCTCTCTCTCTCTCTCTCTCTCTCTCTCACTTTAGACATTTTACCCGCTAGCGCATTTGTGAGGTAACTTTTCCTTTCCTCCTGGCTGTTTAAGCGATACTTGTGGATCCAGACACGAGCGCACATGAGGTGCAAGTTTTCTCCACTGTGTCTATTATGGATTATCTGTGATAACCGCGTATTATGCGCATACAGAATGTAAATGTTTTTCCTGCGTCACTCAGCGGTGAACAGCGCTTTTATTTCTAAAGCCGATCACAGCCCTTTCTGTTGAGTGGGTGAAGATAATCACCAATCAGGGGTGCAAGACCTCGTTTGACAGCACTCAAAAAGCAAGCAGGATAATATTTACATTAGTTTATTTGCTCTAATTGCTCATGCTGTCTTCTGTGCATGTGTAGGAATTAGTTTGATACGTTCAGAAAGAGTGTTTTCTTTAAACAGGTCAAATTAAAGGTACAGTTCAAATATCTTACTGCTTGTAATAAAGGACAAACTTGTATTACAAATAATATATAAATATTAATACATTTATAGATTTTAATTTTTTTTTAATTATTGTGCTGTGAAGAAAAAAATCTAATTATGTATGGAAAACATCGCCAATGCACCGTGATGCACCAAGACAACGAATTAAACCAAATCGATGGCATGGTAAATGTAACCGAACCGAACCTTGAGGCCAGTGTAGGTTCACACCCCTAGAATTTTCTTTGTATGTGATGAAAGGGAGTCTTACTCCGCATGTGGCCCTCAGCACAGTACATCATGTCAGCTGCATGGATGAACTGATAGCCTGAACCACTATTACAGAGCTCTGCCTCTGTGTAGCCAAGAACAAAATTCCAACTGTGGGAAACAAAAAACAAACAAACATGTGGCTTTGAGAGATACAATATTCTTATTTTACGAGTACAAAGCAAGAAACTGCATCAAATTAGAAGCCAGCTATTTTATGAAGAGAAAAACCCTAAAATATAAAGTAATTATAAAATTTAAATAACGAAAGTACACTGTAAAAAATGCTGGGTTCCATACAACTGATTTGCATATGAAGAATATAAAGAAATGAAATGACCTTATACATTTTTTTCAAATTTAAGTGGATTGAACAAAATAACTAATAACTAATGTTTATTTCTATAGCGATTTTACAATGTACATTCTGTCAAAGCAGCTTAACGTTGAAGTTTTAGTAAATTAAAATTGTCAAAAATCAAGTTCAGTTTAGTTCAGTTCAGTGTGATTAAAATTTCTGTTAGAAGTCCAAACACTGAAGAAAAAATCCAACTGATTTCAAAACAATTGAGTTGCCACCCACAAGAAAACATTACCTGAGTTTTAGCTCACTTTAAATAAGTAGACTGAACAAACAGCAAACACCAGTTTTTGAGTGTACAATAAAAACGAAACAATTGAGACACATCATTGATGGATACTTAGCTAATTTCTTACTTTGTGTCACACGCAATAGGTGTGAAATCCAGCTTATACTTGGTTTTGAACATTAAGTTCTTGGTGCGTATCTCCAGTATGGAAGGTGGCTGTAGAGGGCAGGCCAGGGCAAACAGGGCCAGCTGAGGCGGGATGCGTTTGCCATCTCCTGTACTCTCATTCTGCCCATACAAGAACTTCAAACGGCCCTGGAAGTTCACGGCCTATAAAAATACAAGCCATTCGTTAAACCCATTTAAACATACGTGACCCTCGACCACATAAAATCAGTCTTACGTTGCACAATGTATATACTGTCTCTAGCAATGGTCAAAAATACCTTGTAAGGGTTAAAATTGTTTTCTCTTTCATGCTAAAAAATCATTATAATACTAAGGAAAGATCATGTTACTTGAATATATTTTATAAATGTCATATTGTTTTAATTAGTATTGTGCATTACACTTTATTTAGACATCTTTAAAGGCAATTTTCTCAAATTTGATTTACTTGAACCCTCAGATTGAAGATTTTCTCTGGCACAAATTATGCCATCATTAAAAAAAATAATAATAATACACATTAATGGAATGCTTATTTATTAAAAATTCAGGTGATGTATTAATTTCAATCTCCAAAACTCTGAAGGTTTTTGTGGTCTAGAGTCACAAATGTAAATCTTACCTAAAAACTAAAACAAATTATGCAATTTTATCTGGGATTTCTCGGGATATAATATTAAGACTTCCTATATGACTCTCTAACTCAGGGGTGTCAAACTCCTGAAGGGCCGCAGCTCTACACAGTTTAGCTCCAACCCTGTTTTAACACACTTGCCAGTAGGTTTCAAACAAGCCTGAAGGACTCAATTAATATGATCAGGTGTGTTTAATTAGAGTTGAAATTAAACTGTGCAAAGCTGCAACTTTCCTGGAGCTGAGTTTGACATTTGTGCTCTAACTGAACCTAATATCAAGAAACAATGCGATGTTTGATGTAATGTTTGATGTACATAAGTTTAGTACAGTAAGTTTAAAAGCCATTTTTGCTACATGATTGCTACTTTAAAAAGTAACTGACATTTAATGTCCTCCATATTAATGTATAATTTGATCTACATCCTGGTTACAAACAAAGGTACAACATTTGCGGGAGTCATAAACCTTATATGAAATAAATAAGAAAAGAACTGGCGTAAATATAATCTTAAAATGATAAAAGATGCACTATTGTAGTCTTACCACAGTAAAGCATGCTAATATTGATTCAAACAATGCTGACATATTCATATTTTATTATTTGAGAAACCCCTCGCTATGTCAAACAATTTCAAGATGTGTTACAATGTTAAATTTGTTATACTGACCTGCGACTTGACAACTTTAAGGTGAAATGGATAATTACTTGAAAGTTAACCATTATTTGGATAGCATAAATTACATAGGACTGTTACATTCTTTAACTATTTGAAAAAAAAAAGTCTTATGATACCTAAAGAAATCAACAGGGTTTATCAGTAAAATACTCTATATTGCTAAATGTATTGGGACATCTGCTTTTATTTCCCAGAAATGAGTTACGGCTGGAAGAGCATCCGCTGGATAAAAACATATGCTGGATAAATTGGCGGTTCATTCTGCTGTGGCAACCCCAGATTAATAAAGGGACTAAGCCGAAAAGAAAATGAATGCATGAATGAACATCTGCCTTTACATGCACATGAACTTTAATGGCAGTATAAATCTGTAGGGTTTAATATCGAGTTAACCCACCAATTTACAGGTATAACAACTTCAACAATTCTGCGAAGGCTTTCCACAAGGTTTAGGAGGGTGGCAATTTTTGACAACTCTTCTAAAAAGTGCATTTATGAAGTCCGGCATTTATGCTAGATGAGAATGGCATGAGTGGGGGATGGGGGTGACGGCTTCGCTGGGCTTCTAAATGGTCACACTTTATTTTGATGGTCTGTTTGTTAAATTTAGGTTACATTGCATCTACATGCCAACTAATTCTCATTAGATTATAAATAAACTATTAGGTTGGGGTTAGGGAGGGTTAATGTAAGTTGACATGTACTTGCCAAGTCCCTATAGTCAGTTAAATGTCAGTTTAGCAGCAGTATCAACATATATTAAGCAGATAGTCTACTAATACTCAAATGGACCATCAAAATAAAGTGTTAACCCCTAAACTGCCAGGGCCCCATGCACTGTCACCCTTTTTCTCTTATTTGCTACATTCCTGTCAAGCTGGCTCACTGTCTCTGCTCTAATTCATCCAAAATATGTTCAATCAGCTGTAAGTCGGGACTCTATGCACACCATGCACACTCTATGAAAGTTTCTCCACACTATATCAAGAGTCCACTGGTAGCATGGTTTACTTAAAGACATCGTACAGGTTGCCACCTGTCATGCTCCGGTCGCATATCCTTTGCCTTGGCCCTCGCCGACGGGCACCTCTCAAAAAATTTAACTACACATCGCAACGACGCATATCGCAAACTCTTTGAATGGTCAACTCGGTATCGCTGACGAGTGTAGGCGGGACAGAGAGCCGCACAAACCCATTGGAGTGAGTGTTTACAAAGTTGGAGTCCCATGAGGGAGCTCCAGAGGGAAAGTTTTGTTTTGTGTTTACCCTATGATTAAAGTTGTTGCACGTCCACCGGTTCCTGCCTCAAAATGAGCAACTTGTGCATAGCGTTCAGAATAAAGTAAATACCAGCATAGAAATTCGACAGAGAGGAACAAAAACCTACTGCCAGCTTGTGTTCTGGACGTGTTATTGCAAAGCAACACAAACAGCGCACAGAAGTATAAATGCATGGCAAAGTGCAAGGCATGCACCATGGGTCACGCCGATCACTCAACGCAAAAGTATAAACCAGGCTTTAGAGTGACCCATACTTTCACAAATGTTTGTAGAACCTGTGTGCATGCAAGTGACTTGAACACCTGAATTCAGTGATTTGGAGAAGTGTTCCAAAACCTTTTTAAAATATAGTGTATCTTACAGTAAACAATTTTAAACGGGTGTTACAAATGTTGAATTTGTCTATTATTTTTATTTCTATTGTTATTATTTATGATACTTTATTAACTTACAAGAAAACCAGAAGTGCTGTCCAACAGACATCTTAACCTGCAAATAAAGTTACGTTCCAGACAAGTAGAGTTCTCTAGTGACAACTGCTCTGGACTGTAGCACGTCCTTGATGCATCAGGGGAAGCTTGACAAAAACAAAACAAGTACATTTAAACTTGCATTTGTATATTATAAAACATAATGTAAAACATTGCTTCGGTGAAAGAAATATAGCCACCAAAGTGTTAGTGTTCATGTGACTCATTGGACCTGATTGGTGTCCTTGGTGATGGCTGGATCTGCTTTGTATGTGTGTACTGTCTGGCAGAGCTGTCATGTGTATACAGTTTCAACAATGCAAAGTGTTAGATTTCTAATAAAAACTGATCCAGCTTTGGTTGAGCGTAAAATGCCCAATCTGAAACCAAGGCAAACTGGCTCAGTCTTTGATCACTGCCTATAAAACTCATAAACATTTGGAGAAACAAATAAAGTGTTCTAACACAACTGTATAGATATAGAATAAAAATAAATAAATTCCTTCTGTGAACAACTGCAATTGTTTTTGTATTATTCATCTCGTTTTATAATTTGGACATTTACATTGCTTAATTCATAATTTTATTATCTTAAAGAGATTGTTCACCCAAAAATGAGAAATTGCTCCATCACTTACTCTCCCTCGTGTGGTTTTAAGCAGTGTGTAAATTATGCAATGATGATGGATTAAAGCTGATAGTCTGCAGTTAAAGCACATCTTGTTCCTTTCATTTCAAATCTATTGTGTTGGTATATAAATATATATTCAAGACAGGGATTATTTTCGAGAAATTAAGAAATATGAAATATTATTAAAAAATAAAAGTTTTTTTGTTTATTAAGATGCATACTATTGTAGAAAGCTCATATAAAAACCAATATAACATAAAAGGGTCACTTAAAATCATGTTTTGGAACTCAAGCAAACTTTGCTTGCAAACATATCTGCAATTTGTCTTCTTCTATACTTTGAGTTGATGGAATGGGCACAGAATCATTCATTTGTCAAAACACAATGGTTAGGTCTGATCAGGTCTGTCTGGAGAGATATTTAGTTATTTTCTACCTTGCACAAGCTGTCTAGAGTCTGGGGTAAAGCCAGGGTTGAGGGCCCAGTGGAGCTGTCTCTGAAACTCATGCCGGTCTTCAGTATGAATGAGTTCATACACACTCTGATGAATGACATCCGACTGCAAAACAAACATATCCATTGCTCAATACAGTTAGAAACTATACCAGATTAAATTAAGGAAACTGAATTATGAAACTGTTGAAGTAAAAATATGGTAAATGTCTTGATTATCAGGCTATTTTATGTAAATTCTTCAGAGCTTGCTTTGTTTGTCACCCAAACATTTCAGTTAAAGTTAGCATCTGTTCACAAGTGAGAAAGTGCTTTTATAATTGTTTTTGTGTAGAAAGTCACACAATTTCACTGGAATTTCACAAAATTAAGGGGCATAAATGTAACAGTCTACCAAATGGGGTGCATAATGCTTAAAGAAATAAAAATTTTACATTGTTAGAGCAGTGTCTACATTTACTCCACTACTTTCCTTCAACCTGCTGTCACTATTTACTATTTCCTGTCAGTCCTGTGATTCCTGTACAATCAAATTGCACATAGAGGGTAAACGGCATCATAATGAATGACCTCAAGACGTACAGAAAACTGTTTGGAAGCATTAAAAGTGTTCAAGAAGATGTCCAAAATCTTTACACACAATGACCCAGAGATTGTTTAGATGCATGTCACTGATGAGAAGATAACGGATGTACTGTATGATGACCGAAATGGCCTTAAACACCCAGCAAGCACAAGATGTCAACATAATGTCAGATTGATGTTGTACCCCAACACCGTAGGAGGTTGCATTTTGTTTAGAAATGAAAATCAGGTTGACATTAGAATGTGCCAGTGTCCAACATCCAACCTAAAATCAACCAAATATCAGTGTCTAATGATGTTACAGATTGATGTTGTGTGGCCGATACCACTATGATGTCTATCAGATGTTAGATTTTGGTTCCCATACCTGATGAATAATGTCAGTATTTGACATCAATATGACATTGGTTTAAAATGTTGGCTCGACATTGGATTTTGGTCCCTTTTTAACACAGTCCAAAATCAACCAAATATCAACATTGTTTGACGTCCTTATTGGCTAGACTTAAATTTTGGTCACCTGACGTCACGAAAAAAATCCAACCTAATATTAACGTCTTATGACATTGTGTGCCTGCTGGGCATTAACTAAATGAATTACAGAATGTTACGTTTACACACATCTACCAATTACATGTAAGTGCAGCGTAACACCCACTACTCACTACTTTTGAGCACTTTTAAAAGGTCTACTTTTTACTCATACTTTGAGTAAAACAGATACTTTTACTCTACATGCCCTACATTTTCAGGCAAGTAATGGTACTTTTATTTAAGTATTCTATTTTATTTAAGTATTTTATTTAAGTAGTTTTCAGTACTCTTTTCACCATTAATGATCCCATTGTGCACACTTTATTTTTATTGTAAATGTTAAGTTTAAATATGTAAATGCAACATTAAATGGGACCTATTTTAAATAAACATTACTTTTAATCCCGTTTAAAAGTTTTGAAAAGCAACAATGTGAGAATATTTTTTTATTTGTTTCTTTAAAGGTTAATGAAGGTGTAGGTTATATGGTACATTGTTAATTGCAAAGCTCCTCAATTAAAAAAAAAAAAAAATAGGGAAAAAAAAACTCTGCAAGTTCTGAAAGAGATCAAGTCTCAGCCAGGTAAGAAAATGTTAAGCAATAACTCAAAAGTAGCAATGCATTACTTACCATAAAAAGTGCCTGAGTAACACAACTAGTCACTTTTTTGGGGAGTAACTTAATATTGTAGTGCATTACTTTCAAAAGTAACTTTTCCCAACACTGGTCATAATGAAACAAAAGTCTAAAATCGCAAACATTAACAATTAATTATTATATATATTTTAACTAATTTAATTCCAGATAGTTTTGGTTAACATTAACCCCTGTAGACAATTATTACCACTTTTTCACCATTACAGTATGTGCTCAAAGCATACACAAACCAGTACAAACCTGATGGAACCCCAAGTAGTCCTCAATGTTGGAAGAAACGTAGAAGACTATCCCACTGGAGGTCACCACCAACAAAAAGCCATTTATAGCCTATTTAAGAAAAGGAAGCAAGGAAAGAAGTGTTTTAATGAGATAGTTTAAGCAATAATTTACATTTCTTCACCATTTACTCACCCCCAGGTAGTTCCAATATTTTATGATATTATTTCCTATGTTAAACACACAAAAAAAAGATATTCTGAATAATGATGGAAACCAGCAGCCATTGGCATAATAAAAACAAAAAAATAACCTATTATGCATTTAAGGTCATATTTTGGTTTTGGGGGTTTCCAGCAACAGTCTGATATGCAAGTCAAAAAACACTTTTATTGTCTTATAATATGCATTTATTTTTACCTAATTATCCCAACGACTTCGATATGATTCGTTCAGTGATTCATTTGTCGAACCTTTTCTTAGCGCAATGATAATCTGCACTGATTGGTCCGATGACCCAGTCTGTTGAGACTGGTAGATTGTGTTCAGCACAAGACAGAGAGAAATGCCCACCATGGCTTAAACTCCAGAATATTGCTCTATTCTTAAAAATATTTAAAAATAAAAAATTACGTACATTCCTTATTAATCCACACATTGGCAAAAGCTGAACTATTTTGAAACTTGACTGCCGCATGTGTATAGGAACAGCTGACAATGGCAATAGCAATGACAAACAGCAGTGGAACGCGAGCTCACAAACATAAATCCGTAAACAAAGTGGACACGTCTTGTTTTTAATGTGGCTTTAGACGTGATATGAGAATATAAAGAGTTAACCAGATACAGTGCAAGCGGTTACAAGTAAAAGTTCCATACATCAATTTTTTTTTTTTTTTCGGACCTTTCCTTTAACAAACGGCTGTTGAATCCCCCGCTGTAAACGTGTAGATTGCTAAAGCACCCATCAGAAAAATGACAGGAACACAGCACAAGGATGGGCTATAATAATGAGGTATTTTTGCAAAAAAAAACTTCATCCACTGACTCTTCACAGCCTCACGTTTGGGTGGAGAAAATAACACAATAACACTTTCCCTCACACTTCAGAGCACAGCGTCTATGCGACTTGCTACAGTGTTTGTCTTCCTCTTTTTCTTTCTACAGTGTCTGTGGGCAGGGCCGGGAGGTTTAAATTTATTGCACAGGTATATTTCTGGCAATGGTCAAAAATACATTTTAAGGGGCAAAATAATAGATTTTTCTTTTCTTTTACATCACATTTTGGTAATGTGCATTGCTAGGCAATTTCTTAGTATTTAGATTTTTTTAACCATCAGATTTTCATCTTAAAGTTTTATCTTTGTCAAACACTATCCTATCATAAAAACATACATCAATGGAAAGGTAATTTATTCAGATTTCAGGACATTTAAATGTCCATTTCAAAAATGTAAACTTTTGTTTTTGTGGTCCAGGGTCACAATTATTGTTCAACAGAAGAAGCAGCTCAAACAGGTTTGAAGCAAGTAGATAAGTGTCAAATCCAGTTCCAGGAGGGCCACAGCTCTGCACAGTTTTTCCTTAACTCTAATTAAACACACCTAATTAAACGAATTGTGTTCTTGAGGCTTGTTTGAAACCTACAGCTAAAGCTGCGGTCACCCTAGAGCAGGGCTATTCAATTAGTTTGGCATGGGGGCCGGTTCATGAAAAGCATCCCAATGAAGGGCCAGAGAGATATGACTTGTTATATGAGTGATGACACAACAGCATATAAGAGCCCATATGCTGTATATTTTTGCTCCTTAAGACACCCATGTTGGCTTCTTCTACATTTAAATGTTAATATATTGTATTTTGAAGCTACATAACATTACTGCATTGTACAATAGACTTTTTTTTACATTTTAATAATAATTTGTCTAACATATCTTTTGTTTACATTGCACTGAAAGGCACGCACAACTCTCACCGTGGGATGTTTTCCACTGCGTGCACCCAGAAAGACGCAAGCACGTCACTCCGCTGGCGCCCGCATATTGTCATATATTCTTAAATTAGAAATAACAAACTTGCAAGCGGAAAAGACGTGATATGGGAACGGCCGCTGCTATAGTTAATCCTGTGTGCGTGCGTATTAGCCTCAGTGTACTTCAAACTTAAAACTAGCCCACAGGCAACTTGGCATTTTGCAGCGGTTTCGTTTCGCTCCGTGCAACAGAAATGCGGCTTAGAGAAGACTTTACGATTAATAAACTGTGACGAATTAAAGCACAGTTAATATTGAAATCGGCTAATCGTTGCATCCCTATTAACGATATCAGTGCATTGTACAAATGGCCGTTTCTACAAACATGTTTTCGGCTACCTGCACCACTCGCTTATGATGACTCGTGCTCTGTGCAGCCTTTAACTGCAGCTTGTGCTGTTATTGAACAGAGACGCACGTCCCTTCATAACCATATCGACAGTTTGTTGACTGAACTAAATTTATTTTTGATGTCTTGGTCTGCCTCGGGGGCCGGTTTCAGCCCGCGGGCCGCCAATTGAATAGCCCTGCCCTAGAGTTTGAGCGTGTCAAATTATGTCGTACGACGCTGCAAAAAGGGGTGGGATTAAACTAGATGGTTAAACAATTTAAAAAGCAATGATTGGTCCATATTTTAAATTTCTGTCCAGAGAGGTCATGTTTGATCCTTGATTGGTCCCACACAGGTCAGTGTTCACCAAGCTTGAACATTCCAACGCATTGATCTGCGAAACTTGACGCATGACCTTGCGCTGCCAGACACCTTCGCGTTCGTATAAATGAAAGTCTATGAAGAAAAATCCAGTGTGACCGCAGCTAGTATGTTGAAGCAGGGTTGAAACTAAACTGTGCAGAGCTGCGGCCCCTCAGAAAAAGGATTTGACACCTGTGATGTAGAGAATGATTAATTCAATGGTCTCAAACTAAATTCCTGGAGGGCCGCAGCTTTGCATAGTTTAGCGTCACCTGTGTTTGATTAGGGTTGGAGCAAAACTGTGCAGAACTTCGACTCTTAATGAATTAAGTTTGAGACCTATGGTTTAATTGATTCATATTTTTGTGTGAACTATCCATTTAAGATCTCTCAATGCATCTGCTATTATGTTTCTTTTTTAATTGAGTGTATTTTGCTTTTGATTATTTTGCTTTTGATTATTTTACATCTGAGCTCACCTGTAGCAAAAATTCCCCCTCTGGCTGCTCCTGAGCCTGTTTAGTGTTATTTGCTTGTTGGCTGGAACTCTTTGAGTTCAGGGTTACTGCAAAAGAAATGAAGCAAGCATTAAAGCAAGATGATTCACAGAAAAGCTAAAACTAAATATAGTTTGGCTGCCCCTGACAATTTTCATAAGTGCAAGCCATAGCCTGCTGGCCTTTCAAATCAGCAATTTCTTTTGGCTATATTTTATACCCTAGGGAAAAAGCAGCATTTCAGTTCTGACATTACATTTATTTACTCAATAGATGCAATGCTCTTTAAGTCTTAACAAAAACAGACAGATTCAAAAATGTATCATTGCTTCAGAAATTGATAATGACATCAATCTTTTGTAGAGCCACTGAAATAACAGCCTAGTCCATTTTTCCTTGCAAAATTTTTCCAGTTCAGTCAGGTGTAAAGAATGAAAACGGCCCTTTTTAAATTAATCCATCGTTTTTTAATGATGTTCAAGTCTGGGGACTGGGATGGCCATTCTAGAACATTGTATCATGTCTGAGCATGAATTCCTTGGTAGATCTGGAACTGTGCTTTGGATCATTGTCCTGCTGAAATATCTAACCCTGCCATAACTTTAGCCTCTTGACTAATTCCTTTTAATTTTTTCTAAAATTTTGAATCTGCTTACACTGCATGGAATCCATGAGACCTTTAACTCTGACTAGATTTCCAGTACTTGTGCTTGCCACACATCCGCACAGCATGATGGACCCTCAATCATATTTTACAGTAGGGTGCAAGTTTTTCTCTTGGATATGATATTCTTTATCCACTATGCATAGTGCCTATGGTTGCGGCATGTTTCCACAGTATGTTTTTTCCAAAAAAAATTCAGGCTTGTTCAGATAAGCCCTTGCATAACTCAAACAACTCCTATTGTTAGCAGGATGCAGAAATGTCTTCTTCTGTATCACCTTCCACTGAGCTGTTCTTTGTGAAGAGTGCACAAGACTGTGGAATGATGTACAGTGACATTGTTAGCAGCAAGATGTTCCTGGAGCTCTTTAGAGGTGGTCTGTGGTTTGTCTGTGACCATTTTAACCATTCTTTGCCAGTTATTTTTCTTAGTCTAGCACATATTTCCTGCACAACTGTTCCTGTGCCCTTCCATTTTCTTACTATATTTCTTACTGTGGAGACTTTAAACCATTTGTGACAGCTTTTTGCATCCTTCTCCTGGTTCACATTGATGAATTATCAAAGTTTTTAGTTCATTAAGATGCTCCTTTGAGGTTCCCATGTTGCTATTTTTAGGTAAAGAGAAGCACAACTAGCAATCCACTGTCTTAAATATCCTTTTTTTCATGATTGATTGCACTTGAGTTAGGATTGTTAAGGTCCATTTTTGTGTCATAATCAATCAGCACCGTGACTACAGGTGTGTGCACAGCCTATTTTTCAGCGTTAATTTAATTTAAATTGTCTTGTCTTATAAAGAAAGTGCACATTATTATGCAGCCAAAGAGGGATGCTCAAACTTTTGCATGAGACTGTATATACCCAATTAGGTCTTTAAAAAAATACCAAAACAATTAGAAATGGCTCTTTGCTGAAAAAAGGTTGCCGACCCCTGAGTAGTACTGTAAGTAAATAGAAATAAAAAATAACAGGGAGACTCTAAAATACAACATTTAAACATAAATTTCTAGGGGTTATTTTATAGACTGCACAGTATTGTAACTCACCATTATAATGATCAACTTTCAAAAGTAAGGCCAGTGAAGTATGGCATGCCTTAGGTATCAGTTTAAGGCCTTTATACTAAAACCAACTATCTAGTACCCACAGCCTCCACTTACCAGGTGCCCTCACTGGATGAAAAGGCGACTGACAGCAATTGAGTAAACAAGTCTATTGAGTAGAATACGTCACATTACGATCATAAATGCTCTATCATGAATGTATGATCTTAACTGATGTTCTCTTCTCTCGCAGCGTTTGGCTGTAAATTTCCCTACACATTGATTTGTGCCAAACCTCGCCAGAATCTTTCAAGCAAGCATACAATGCAGGTCAAAGTTTTCTTCCAAAGTCGGTGACTATCAAACACTTTAGTTTCGTAACTCTGTTAACCAAAGTCAAGAGGTCAGAGAGTCTGTTTTAGTTACTCACGCAAACCCAGACCTTCCCTAGCCACTGGCATCCAGACAGGTAAACTAATAACAGACAAAAAAATAAATCTCTCCTGGTAAGCCTGTTTCTCAAAGCTCCCTTTACCATCAGCATGAAGCAGGTTCAATTGGTTCCGTGTTGGCTTTACCAATGCAATCTAACAGCATTTTGCAATCCTATTTGTACATTTAAGTAGGCTTTGCTCATCCCTTATGAGAGGTGCATTTTGGCGTGGAGTTTGGGGGGTTTGAAATGAATGAAATCTTGTTCATTTGTAGAATTTTCTGAGTATAAATACATATGATATAGATATGTTTTATTGTGTGATAGAACTGGGTTTTACTGGAAAACTAGTTTGCTTTTCCACAGACTAAAGAGCCAACACACACAGAGATAGGTTTTACAAAGCCAAATATATTTCATCTTTTCAGCAATGCTAGTGTGGAAGCACCTTTCACATTGCTAAGTCCCAGTTTGCCTATTGTCTGTCCAAAATGACATTTGAAAATATGGGTGTCACAATTTGTATTATCCTTAAAAGAGAATTACAAAGTTAACCAGATGGCTATTTCAAATATAAGAATTGGAAGAGGGCAGCACGGTGGCATAGCACAATCACCTCACAGCAAAAGGTCTCTGGTGTTTCTGAGTGAAGTTTGCATGTTCTCCCCATGTCAGCGTGGGTTTCCTCCGAGTGCTCTGTTTTCCCCCACAAGTCTAAAAACATGCGCTATAGGTGAATTGGGTAAGCTAAATTCCCCATAGTGTATGTGTGTGAATGAGTGTCTATGGATGTTTCCCAGTGAGGGGTTGCAGCTGGAAGGGCATCCACTGCATAAAACATATGCTGGATAAATTGGCAGTTCATTCCACAGTGGCAAACCCTGATTAATAAAGCCAAAAAGAAAATAAATGAATGAATTTGTATTTTAGTAAATAATAATAGTGTAATATAATTTAATGTGGTTTAGATCTGAATTATGTTTAAAGATTCAGAATTGTCCAGGATTCCATAAATGAGACCAAATAAAAATATGAAAATGTAAAATTTCTTTCGTTGATTTCAATGGACATAAGGTTAAAACACTGCACAAACAATATATCAACATTTTTTAAAAATTACATTAATTTTGAGGGATTGTTTTAAAGACTGCACATTGTAATGGACAGATATGTTTAACATCGAAACCCACTGTCCATTACAATGGACAGACATATTTTTAAATTCTTATTTAATGCTTGCAAATCATTCATTCATTTTCTTTTCAGCTTAGTCCCTTTATTAACTAGGGGTTGCCACAGCGGAATGCACCACCTACCTATCCAGCATTTGTTTTACACTGCCCTTCCAGCCGCAACACATCACTAGGAAGCACCCATACTCATTTACACACCTACACTACAGACAATTTAGCTTACCCAATCTACCTATATCGCGTGTCTTTAACTGTGGGGGGGAACAACCTTTTTGCTGTAAGGTGACATTGCTACCCACTGTGCCACCGCGTGTCCCAGCTCAATTCTTATAAATAAATAACCTTGTTAATTTCTATATAATCTAAGTAAATGTTAATATAACCAATGAAAATGTTGCTAATTTCTGTGTTGAGAACTAAGTGCTGCCTTTTCTACTGCTGTATTTTCAAATTACAACAGGCAGAGATTTACTACCATTTGATTGGATGACAAAAAAAGTTCAATATTATGGACAAAAGGCCTCAAATTGGTAAAATCATTTAAAAGCACCTGACATGTTGTATCCATTCTAATGGAAACACAAAATATATTAATTTTTTGAGCACCAAATCAGCATATTGTGGTATGATTTCTGAAGGATCATGTGAAACTGAAATCTAATGGTGAAAACTATGCTTGGCTATAACATTACACAAATTACATTATTTATTAAAACAGAAACAGGCTGTTTAAAATATAATAACCTTTCACAACAGTACTGTTAAATTATGTTTTGCATCATGGGATAGTGTAGCGTGCATCAGATATGCACTCCAAAATATTTCCGGAAGTAGCAGGTCTTCCGGGCACTTCTTGCATACTGTTGTTTGAATTCTATGAATTCGGACTCTGCTTATATACTGATTTTAGCTACAATATAGCAGGGTTTTTCAAAGTCTAAGACGGTGGGCCTCCCTTTTGACACAACTTATCCATTGGTGCCCTCCTCCTCCCAAACACGCATGCACACACGCGCGCACACGCAGACACAAAAAATTCTGGAGGTTTTCCTGCTACCTCATCATACTTGGTTTCAAGGTGTCGCCGAAGTTTAGCGGGTCTCATGCTGTCATTAGCCAAAATATCTTGACAAACCACACATAAAAGTCGTGGTTCATCAGCTGGTCCTGTCCACGTAATTCCTAAACTCAAATACTGATCATCATATCGTCGTCTTATGGGTTTAAGCCAAGTGTGCTGCAAGCCTGCGTTTGAGTGAAGGTCTCGGCCGTTAGATCGCCCCCTGGGGGCTGGCTGCAGTACAAGTCATAAAGCCCGCCTCCTCCGTGTTAATAGAGTGGAGGAACTATGACGTCAATTTGTATGCAAAAACCCGGAAGCGAGTTAGCATTTTAGCACTTCCGGTTCCCTCGTCCCAAAGTCAATGGGTTTTTTGAACAGGGTTTCAGTAAAATCGCTTAAATAAGGTCCGTGGCTAACACCAACTCAATATACTTTCACGTTTTGTTCTACGACATAAAACACATCAGTTACAGCACACTCTTCAACTTTTAAATCGATTATGCTTCTTTAAAAAGATGGTTGCTATCAAGTTGCTAAATGAGACTACAGGCGGCGTCGGGGACATTATACGTCATCGAACTGAACTGGTCTGGAGCGCAGTTCGCTTGTGTTGGGCGTCTCCGCTCATTTTCGCGGCTCCTCCTCTGGCTCCATCAGACAGTCCTTCTGCGCATGTCAAGGCTCCAATTTCAGCAGTCTTTTGCGACAGTTTTTGCCCGTCAAGCAGGCGTTTTGCCCTCAAGGCGTTCAATGGGAAAAGGGGCTGTCGCGTCGTCCATATTTTTTACAGTCATTGGTTTAAGCCCTGAACTTGAAGGCTTTGAATCGGGGGATCTCAGAAACCGATCCATTGTATTAGCAGGCATATACCTGTATTGGCTGGCTTGCCAAACAGAAGTGAATTCACAGCTATGGCCTTCTGGGTAAAAAAGGTTTTCTTATTTTTGACGTATTATTTTTTTTTAGCTTTGTTTAATTAAAACATTTAAAAATAATAAAAAATACATATAATAATTAAACTTAATAATTATATTTTTATTATATAATATTTTTTCCCGTGCCTCCCCTGACATGCTCTGGCGCTCCCCAAGGGAGGCGCGCCTCACACTTTGAAAACCCCTGCTATATAGAATGGAAGTATGCGGTTTTGGACGCATCTGATTCAGATCATCAGCTCATTACCAGAAACTGAAACCTGAAATGGAATTAACAGACAAAGGAGACATCCAAAACATGCAGTGCTGGTGGTCCTCCAAAAACGTGGTTGAGAAACACTGCTTTAGCTGAACAGTCAATCTGTGCAAGTTAATCCACAGAAAAAACTTAACCAAAGTCTAACAAGTGTTTGAAGTTTTCAAACACTTTTTTTTTTTTGCCACGCCCCTCTTAACATTAGTTCTCTATGAAGGAATGTTACACAAATATAAAGTCCCAGCCCCTACTTAATAATCCGTTTCAGTTGGAAGTACATCAACATACAGCAATAAAAGTCTCAGCAACTTCTAGTTCATGCTGAATTAAATTCATAGACAAACCTATGATTTAACCAGCCTGATCACACAATGAAACGCAAGTATTTTACGTTTTGTCAGTTTAGTGGCTAATTCGTACGAGTTTAGTCGTACGAAAATGTACCATTTTAAAAAGGAAGCATGGCACCCAACTCCACCCCTAACCCCAATTGTCTTTGGTTGATGAGCAAACCATGCTAAATTGTTCAAATTAGATCGTACAAATGCATACGAATAAGCCACTGAATCAAAAAATTACGAATTGCCATGAGATTGCGTTGGAATTAACCCCTTCCGAGAACTGTAAATGTCGGTTTTCAACACTTTACTTTTGAATGTATGCTTAATTGTATTTATTTGTTTAATCATTGTTTGTTCATTGCCTTAGCTTAACAAAGCTTTTGTGGACATTTCATACAAGTGTTGAGTCTGTGATAATGACTTCTTGCTTCAAAGTCACTTTAATGATTCCAATCAAGCTACATACTGTAAACTTAAGCATCTGATTAAGAATAGAATATTTTTTCTAAGGCCATTAAAAAAATAACATGATGGGAATTTATAATCAATGAAGAGTGTTCAAGAGACAAATTAGTTTGAATTGTAAACTTAATTCTGCTACATCAAGTTATTGCATAACTGATTCAAATATGCAAAAGAATATTATAATGTACTGCAGATCATAGAAAAATGTGTATAATTAATAATAAATATAGCTATAATTAATTATTCCTATCCCTAATTCGGCTAATTTTGTTACACTTTACAATTGACTGAATGCACAGCAACAACGTTCACATATTCTTAAGAAAGTAAGAAAGAATCTATGAAAGAAAGAAAGAAAGAAAGAAAGAAAGAAAGAAAGAAAAAGAATGATGCTGTTGAGTTTTATTAGACTCTATATTTTAGTTTCTGCTGGATCCATATTTTAAACTCATCTTTGTTTTTAAATTAAAATTTGTACTGCAGTGAAAGTAAAATAGACCCTAATAAAATATTGCAATCTCACCGGCCAACTGCTCTAACTGCTCATTAATGCAACTCAATCCATTTAGGTTAGTTCAAACCGACCATTAGAATGGGAGAGAAAGGTGGTTTAAGTGACTTTAAACATGGCATGGTTGTTGGTGCCAAACGGGATGGTCAGAATATTTCAGAAACTGCTGATCTACTGGGATTGTAACACAACCTTGTCTAGGGTTACAAAGAATGGTCCGAAAAAGAGAAAAAATCCAGTGAGCGGCAGTTCTGTAAGCACAAATGCCTTGTTGATGCCCAAGGCCAGAGGAGAATGGCCAGACTGGTTGGAGCTGATAGAAAAGCAACAATAACTCAAATAACCACTCGTTACAACCGAGGTGTGCAGAAGAGTATCTCTGAATGGACAACATGTCCAACCCTGAGGCGGATGGGCTACAGCAGCTGAAGACCACAGCGAGTGTCACTCCTGTCAACTAAGAACAGGAAACAGAGGCTATAATTCGCACAGGCTTACCAAAATTGGACAAAAGAAAATTGGAAAAATGTTGCCTGGTCTGATGAGTCTTGATATGTGCTGCAACATTCAGATGGTAGGGTCAGAATTGGGCATCAACAACATGAAAGCCTGGATCCATCATGCCTTGTATCAACGGTTCAGGCTGCTGGTGGTAGTGTAATGGTGTGGGAGATATTTCTTGGCATGCTTTGGGCCCATTAGTACCAATTGAGCATTGTTTCAAAGCCACAGCCTACCTTAATATTGTTGCTGACCATGTCCAACCCTTTATGACCACAGTGTACCCATCTTCTAATGGCTACTTCCAGCAGGATAATGTGCCATGTCATAAAGCACGAATCATGACTGGTTTCTTGTACATGACAATGAGTTCACTGTACTCAAATGCCCTCCACGAGCATTAGTAGACTGTCTGCTTAATATCTGTTGATACTGTTCCTTCAACAGACATTTAACTCACCATAAGACACTTTACAAGTACAAGTCAACTTACACTAACCCTAACTTAATAGTCTAATTATATTCTAATGAGAATTAGTTGGCATGTACAACAAACAGACCATCAAAATAAAGTGTGACCCTAAAAGCTACTACAGTACATAATAATTACCACAAATACATTATAATTCAGGTATTGTCACCTTCCACAATAATAAATGGACTCCTAATCTTTCATATTTTAATAATCTGCATGAGAGATTAATGCATAACCAATTTAATAGTCAGAAATTAAGCAACAATGACACATAACTGCAGAATTTTTTTCATTACTTTTGAAGTGACTTTTGGCCCGCAAGTAGCTCACACTTAGCCTCAGTATGGTGAGTTTGTCCAGCGTGGATACGATCTCCTGTGGAAAAGGAATCTCCCTGGCCAAGCTGGCCAGAACTTCATTCATACGGTCTCTATGTCGTTTGGAGGGATTGGATTTAACACATGTAAGAGGCTGCTTCACACTAACATAAAAAGAGAGAGAAAAAAAACATAACATTACTTTTTTAGAACAATTGGGAATTTCTCATAGGAACATTTGCTTTAGAACTTCAAAAAAGACATTTTTAAATCAATCTGTCATACTGTACTCTTTCAGCCCTCACACCATGTATTCTCAAATGTTTGTCTACATACTAAACAATTGCATTCTGGTCAGTGGTAATCACTCAACGTTTTAGAATAGATTTAGACATCGCCCACTGCAATTTAGTAAATAGATGGTAAAACATCAATATAAAACTAACACTAATATAAAATAAAAACTATTACCTTTTCTGGACAGGTTTCCTCCTTTTGCGACTTGCATAAATATTACTGGAGCTCATAATCTCCAAAGAAACAGATTCGTGGTTTGTGAGTGTTTTTTTCAGTGCTAGGCTAGCAAAACCTTAACCTGCGTTGGGTTAGAGGTTTCCACCCAAAAAGCACAAAATAACCCCCCAATGCTCTTTAAATCTGAAGCTTTCACCTCTTTACAACAGTTAAAGCCCAGTGGTTGACATGAGAGTAAATTAACACTTCATGTCAGAGGGGCTAAGCTAAACTGACAAGCTCTCTGTCAATCTAACCTCAAGAATTGCCTAATTTACAACACAAACGCACATTCTGCTATCCAAAAGTTAGACATTTTTGTAGTTTATCAATCATATACTTAAAACACCCTTAGCCTTGACTAGTTTGCGATAGTTTGGCAGACTTGCTGTAACTTTGTGTACTTTTGACAGACTGATAAGATAAAGGCTCCTCCCTCACCCATTAGCCACCTGCTGACCACTTCCTGAAGTCATTTTCAGTCATGTTTGCAGGGAAGGGGACTAGTTGAAATATTACAACCCCCAGCCTGGGTCAACACAGTGGAATGAACCACTATTTAGACAGTGAAATGCCCTTCCAGCTGCAACCCAGCATAGAGTAAAACATTCAGTATAGTACTAGGAATTACCCACACACTCTCCTATTCACACACATTACAGCAATTTGGGCTTTTCTTTTTTGTCTTTGGACTTGGGGGGCAATTTAGGCTTTTCAGTTTTTGTCTTTAGACACCTAACCCTGCCCGTAACTAGTGGAAACAGGAGAGATGAAAAGCACATTTAATTCTGCAGTGAGAGACGTCCCATTTCAGACAGTTTCCTCTTGCATCCACAGTTATTCCTGTTGGATGTGCCAGCTGATATATCCAACACAATCTCACGGCAATTCGTAACTTTTTTGATTTAGTGGGTAATTCGTATGGATTCGTACGATCTAATTTGTTCAATTTAGTACAATTTGCTCATACCCCAATGACGGTTGGGTTTAGGGGTGGGATTGGGTGCCACACTTCCTTTTTAAAATCTGAACTCGTACGAATTTGTGCAAATTAGCCTCTAAACTGCCAAAACGTAAAATACTTACGTTTTCTCATAAGATCAGGCTTGGTTACAGATGCGCCAGCGACATGTACACCAACAATTTGTCCTCTTTTGAACTCTGATATATTTTACCCAGTGTAAAGAGTGTAAAGTAACAAACTACAAATACTAAAATTACTGTAATTGATTATTTTTTCTTAGAAATTGGAATTTACTCAGTAGTAAAAGTACTATTTTTATGCAGTACCGGTACTATTACTCCACTACTTTCCTTCAACCTGCAGTCACTACCCCCATAGCAAAATTTCTCTGGCCCACACATTCAGCTTTTGCTTGGCCTACATGCCCCAGTGAATTATGGTATATGATTGGACTAAATCTGGCTTCCATACAAGGGCCAAACATGGTCCATATCTGGGCCAAGTCTCAGCCAAGTGAATAACCCATAACTGGGCCAGATATGTTGGAGTGTTATGACTGCAATGAGTTTGATAAACCCAAGCTTTATGGCAACATGTTTTCTCTAAGAGACCTGATTGGTAGAATTTTCCTTTAGTCAAAAATAATTTAAATGCATTTAAAAGTGGGTCGAGATAGGCCAAACCTACGTGGCTCATAAATGACTTTTAACATCTCGGCTAAATACTACATTTAATCTGGTACAAGTCCTAAAGATGGTGTCACCTCTGCCAAACCCGAGCCATGTTTGGCCCACATGCTGTATGCCAGTGCCGGAAGATTGCCTGCTTTATGCCAAATCTGGGCTAGAATTCTTTGCTACCTGGGTACTTTATTTCTTGTTTGGGGATTAGAAAATAGAAGGTAAATCACATTATAATGATGCACATAGAAGGTAAATAGAATCATATTAAACTACTCTACCTTAAAGGGCCATGAAACCCCCTCGTTTCAGCAGGGTGTTTTCACACCTCTACTTTGGAAAAAGTCAGAAAAGTGGGCGTGTCCAGCTCTGTTTAGGGGGGAGTGTCAGAGGTACTAAAGTGGGAGGGTGTGGGAGTGTCGATTTGGGCACGCGCTAGTTTCTGTCAAAATACTCACACACGGGAGAAAATGATGGTGTTTAACCTACATGGACATCTGTAGTCGAATTATTTGCCAAATTATTAAATGTTGGACTTTAATTGCAGTTTGGCTCTTTCATTCAGGGAATTCATTCATGTCCCTCGCGACAAACGCAATATTTGATTCGAGGATCTGCTCTAAGCGTGTATTTTTCATGCAATGTTTGATACCGCACGGCGAATGAAAGAAAAAAAAAATCTCTGCATTTCCCGGAAACTTAGATGCACACGGCAGGTAGCGTCAGAAAGCCGCGTGTGTTATTCCGGTCACTAAATGCGGTGCTAACATGTTTGCACTCAGTGCAATAGTTAACTTAATTCGATATGAACAAACTGAATAAACAAAGAGCACTGGTCGCTCACTTACCAAATCTGTAGAGACAGGACAATCACCAGTAACTAGAGCCGCGTCTTTATGAAGAGAATACTACAAGCGAATCCGGATTTCAGCGTTTGCAGATGAGAACAGCTCTCAGGTAAACAATGTTCCTCCTTAGACACGCAAGTTATTGTTGTCGAGCGTCGCGTACACTGTTAATCCACACGTAATCCAGATGAGCTCTCACAGAGAGAAAATGAAAACGAAACTTAATGGCAGCAAACTATAAAAGCAACACTTCACGCTTGTTTTGCCAACACAACGTGGCGTCTCTGTGGTGTAAACACGGTGACACTAATGAAGTTGCACAATAGAGCGCGCTGATTGGTTTGAACCAAGCCTTACTCATGCATTAATGCAACACACTGTAAGACGTAATAAGACTCACTCTGGCACAGACGCCCAGTCTGCACGCTGGAATACAACGCTATTATGTCATGGCCGTGACGCAGCTTCAAAAATTCGTTTCAAACAGGAAGTACGAATTTGCTTGAAATAAGGCAAAAACAAACAATTTACACTTTTTAGTGAAATATAGGTGTCCTAATAGGGTTTTTAGCAGTGTGGGACACATATACGACTGTCAACAGCTCAAAAAATGTGTTTTGGTGTTTCGTGAACCTTTAAGACATGCAGCAAATGGCTTAGAAGCATTAAAAGTGTCCAAAATTATGTCCAAAATATTTACACGCAATAACCCAAAGACTGTTTAGATGCATGTCACTGATGAAAAGATGACAGATGTTTACTGTATGATGACCAAAATGGCCCTAAACACCCAGCAGGCACAGGGCATCAACATGACATCAGATTGACGTTGTACCCCAGCGTCATAGGCAATACATTTTGTTTGGAAATGAAAATCAGGCTGACGTCAAAACCCAACAGCAGGCCAACTTCAGTGTCCAACTTCTAACCTAAAATCAACCAGAGATGAACGTCTATTGATGTTACAGCTTGAGGTTGTGTGGACAATATCACTATGACGTCTATGAGATGTTGGATTTTGGTTGCCATACCTGATGAATAAATGTCAGTGTCTGTCGTCAATATGATCTGTTGTTGGTTTAAGATTTTGGCTAAACATTGGATTTTGGTTACTTTCTAACACAGTCTAAAATCAACCAAATTTTAACATCATTTGATGTCGTTATTAGACGTCAAAATAACGTTATCCTTAGACGTTGGCTAGGCTTAAATTTTAATCACCTGACATCACTATCTAAATCTAACCTAAAATAACGTCTTATGACAATGTGTGCCTGCTGGGCAATAACTAAATGCACTACAGAATGTTATGTTTACACACATCTACAAATTACATGTAAACTCATCAGCTTTTACCAGCGTATTTCTCAATACTCTTGTTGCCAACATCATTGCTCTAAAAGTAAAAAGTAATAGATTAAGATATTTTGGTGTCATAAATTTTGTTTATATAAACCATTGTGTTGCTGCATAACATTTGGTAGTACACTGAAATACCTGGATAAGCTGAATGTCCACTATTCGGTTTGCTTTCAGGTCCATCACAGAATAGGTACCATATTTTGCACTGTGTCCTAAAAAAGTATGATTAAATAACATTTGTTAACTAATTTACATAATACTGCTTTTATATTGTTGTATTACTTTAATAAACTTACCTGGAGAGTCGGCCCGCATGTCCCCGCCAAAGATGGTGTCTCCATTCGTGATTGCATGTTGAACAGCTGTACTTTGTTCCATATTCCACAACCAATTGATTGTTGGAAAAAGTAAATTCCGCTGATGTTTTAGGTAGGTCGTGTGACTAATCCCTGCAATGTTATATAACTGAAACAACTGCGGACACATGGAAAATTAACTATTACTTAAACTGCAGCAGAAAACAAGGGTCACAGAGGGATATAAATAAAAATAGCCTTGCCTTATCCACTTGCAAGAAGGACGCTCCACTAAAAACTACAGCTGCGGCCAGCTGGATATTTCCTGCTGGTATGTCTGCAACATACGGCTGACTGGTCCAAGTGTTACGATGCTCACAGTGTGTGCAGACCTGATCCACAAATTAAAGAGATCCGACAGTCCTACTGTGTATAACACATCTTTTGGTGCAGATAGGACACTGCCTGAAGAGCACAATGATGTTTTCTTCGTAAACTATAAATTTCCTCATTTTGTAATGTGGTGTTTCTATTTCAGTACTGATAGGAGACACAAAAACAACAAAGGAATTTTACAAAATATAGTAATACAACACGACGAATTACATTATAGTGTAGCAAGTACATACATTACAAATGTCTCAAATTACTCACCTCTCATTATAGATGGTGTGGTTGGTATCATCTGGGTTGAACGTAATGTCATCTATAGCCGTAGTTCTTGACCTTTTTACAGGGGTTGAAACGGCAAGTGGAAGTTCTTCGAACGATGTGTTCAACATGACTGTGCTAACGTTACAGCTAACATCCTTCTTATGCTGTTTAACCTGGATGCCTGAACAAAGAAAACATGCTAGTCTAAAAATGCCAATGCAACATTGACCAGCAAACAGAAATGGATTTAATTCTTACTCTTGCTTCTTTGTTTTGGTTTCCAACTGCATTGTGTGCTGGTATGTTTGATGGGCATAACCGCGTCGGTTTGGCATGCTACATCAGTTGTGTATACATCAGTCTGGCACGCCACCTCACACCGCATTTCTGATTCAGATGGCGAACATAACTGTTGTACAACCGTCTAAAAGACACCGGACAGACACGATTAAATGAAAACCAACTGTTTACAGTCTGTAGTATTGAAGAATTACTGTAAAATACTTAGTAACGCTAGTCATTGCAGTAAGTCATGTATTTACATGTATTTACACTTACTGAATCTGTAGAGGCAGGAAAA